CCACGTTCCGAACTGACAATCGCTGATCTCGGCTCGCGCAGAGACTGCGGGAGCGTCGGGGCCGACAGAGACGGATTACGTCAAGAAATAGTTCCTCCACCTACCTCGGCGGCCTCTGCGCCCCTGCGGGGCTCCCGCGCCCAGCTCGGCCCTTGGGGTCCGGAAACCCTGGCTTCGGGGACTGGCATTTTCACCCCATTCAGAAATCCTCCTAGGGTGGGGGTTGGAGGCCATCTGCTTATGGGTGGACATGGGCAAGGGGGTTCTCTGATGAGATACGAGTTGTCCTGAGGGGGTGGCTCATGCCTTGGATCCAGAGTTTCGGACCCCCAGGAAAACGCAGGTCTCGGGGATCAGCAGAGAAGGGGGTGGGAGAAAGGGGGGGAAAAAGCAAGGAAAAAAAAGCCCCTGCGCATTGATCCGCGCCGTATTTTTGGGTAAATACGATCACGTGGGGGCCGGGGAGCCAATGAGCTGCGGGGAAAAGGCTGGAAAAATAATTACCTGCCTTGATTGTTCTGTGAGCAGATAAAAAGTACATATACAGTTCATACAATAATCTTATGTATGTAAAACCCCGTTACGATGTCGGCGACGGGGCCCATCAGTAACTATTACGTGGACTCGCTCATCTCTCACGACAATGAAGACCTCCTAGCGTCCAGGTTTCCGGCCACCGGGGCTCACCCCGCCGCCGCCAGACCCAGCGGCTTGGTGCCGGACTGTAGCGATTTTCCGTCCTGTAGCTTCGCGCCCAAGCCGGCCGTGTTCAGCACGTCGTGGGCGCCCGTGCCCTCGCAGTCGTCCGTGGTGTACCACCCGTACGGCCCCCAGCCCCACCTCGGCGCCGACACGCGCTACATGCGGACTTGGCTCGAGCCGCTGTCCGGCGCCGTCTCCTTCCCCAGCTTCCCGGCCGGGGGCCGTCACTACGCCCTCAAGCCGGACGCCTACCCCGGGCGCCGCGCCGACTGCGGCCCGGGCGACGGCCGCAGCTACCCGGACTACATGTATGGCTCGCCCGGGGAGCTGCGCGACCGCGCCCCGCAGACCCTGCCCTCGCCCGAGGCGGACGCCCTCGCCGGCAGCAAGCACAAAGAGGAGAAGGCCGACCTGGACCCCAGTAAGTTGGGAGCAATTTTCCTTTACAACCAGCGCAGGAGGGGAGGGGAGGCCGGGCGGGGGGAGCCGGATTACAGCCCCTCGGAGCTGCGCAGGGAGCGCGGGAGAGGGGCGAGGACTCAATAAAAGCGAATTACCTTGGGGAGCTTTCAGGGGCAGGAAGGTCTGAGAAGGGGGCTCAGAGAGCCAGTTTGAGAGAGGACTGAGGGGGCTTCTCTCCCAAGAGCTGGCTTTGATGAGACCCCCGCCCCCCACACACCCAGCCTAGGCTTTTTGGCTCAGTCGCTACTTTCGAAGAAATGCAGGAAGGGCCAGGGATGGAGTGGCAGCGAGGTTCATTTTACGGTTTGAGGTGGGATGGGGAGAAATGAGAAGGACACTGGGAGCAGAGAGGAAATACCCCAGAAAGAAAAATCACCCCTACTTCCCAGCCAGCATGGGGTGAGGAGCCCCACTAGATTCATGAAACAGAAGGTCCATGGACTTCTCTCCCAGGAGCACTGGGTGAGGGGTCTGTGGGATTTCACAGCCTGGGAACTTAGAGGGATCAGGACTTCCAGAGGTGGGGGAGAGAAGTGGGGTCCCAGTCTCCTTAAACTTGAAAACCCTCTTCTGAGGGTCTTTAGGAGGATTAAGAATGGAGGGTGAGGGATGAGAAGTGGGGAGAGGCATCTCCCCAGATTAGAGAATTATACACACAAACATATATACACCCCCATCCACCACCACCCCCCCCACACACACACATACACGCACACTTCAATCAGGGAGACAGGAGCCTTCTGAGTCTTGCAAAGAAGGGCAGGGGTAGATTGGGGGGGGGGCATGTGGGAGCTGCAGGGCCAGAGAAAAGAGAAAGAAGGGAAACAGCAGGGGAGGGGTGCAGCCCCCTGGGTGTGAGGAAGTGTCTGGGGGAGTCCCAGGAGGGGGCTCCAGGAAATCCTTTCCTCCAGCCCCATAAGGGGCCAGGGCCTAATTATACCTCTCTGAGCCTTCCCTACTTGCCCTCAGCTACTCCCATAAACCTGAAATTGGAGGCTTGGCTCCTGCAGAGCCTGTCCTGGGGCTGGCAAGAGAGAAGCCAAACAGGGAAGCTAAGATATAGGGGAGCCTGTTCCCAAGTCCAGCAGCTCTCTGGGGAGAGGAGAAAGGCTTTCCCCAGCCCAGCATCACCCTGAGAATTCGCCTCAACAGGGTTGAATTCGTAGAGCGGAGACAGGCGCTGGAGAGGGTGGTGAGGGGCTTAGGGACTCTCAGGGTCAGGAAGCAGAACTGCTGAAATTTCAGGACTTGGTCGTGGGCTGGGAGGATGGGAGGGGGCAGAGGAGGAGGGAAGTGGGGAGGAGAGAGACCTTGCTATAAAAATAAAAAACAAGAGAGAGAAGCGTTTATGGGCCTATGAAACGGTTGGGAATTTGGACTTTTTATGAGGATATTCTCGAATTACTACTCTTGAAGCTGAGGACCAGACTGTAGGGGCTTTGATTGCTTTGATTTCCTATAGTTTTAGGTGCTGGAAACTGAAGAAGGGGAAGATAGGGAGGGAGCAGAACGCAAAAAGAGTGAGGGGGGAGGATGATCCTAAAGCAAAACCTGTCCAAATTCAGGTTCAATTATTGGGTTTGGGGAGCCTGGCTAAGCCTGGGGAATGGGATGGAAGGGATCCTGGGCTGGAAAGGGGCTCCACTGACCCCTGCCTGTGTTTGGCCCTCCAGGCAACCCCGTGGCCAACTGGATCCATGCCCGCTCCACGAGGAAGAAGCGCTGCCCTTACACCAAGTATCAGACGCTGGAACTGGAGAAGGAGTTTCTCTTCAATATGTATTTAACCAGGGACCGTCGGTATGAGGTGGCCCGGGTTCTCAACCTCACTGAGCGGCAGGTCAAAATCTGGTTTCAGAACCGGAGGATGAAGATGAAAAAGATGAATAAAGAGAAAACCGACAAGGAGCAATCCTAAACCCTGACCCGGCCTGCTGCCTCGGCACAGCCAAGGGAAAAACAAAAACCCCACAAAAAACCCCAACCCAGGCGGGAGAGAGCACGAAAAAGAAAAGGAAAAAGCAAGATAGAGAAAAGCCAATCAGCTTAAAAAGAAAAAAAAAAGGGGAAAAGGAAAAGGAAAACTCTTGCGATTTGGGAGGGTTCAGTGTTTGAGAAATTGGTGTTTTAGAGTTAGTCCTACCCAGCGAGGAGCAGGAGGCGGGGAGAGAATCCGCGTTCTCTTCTCCCAGCGCAACTGAAATAAATGACACACACAAATGTGATTTTTTCTCCTTTCTTCAGAGAAGCCAGTACTTGAATCGCTATATTTCTATTTTTTTTTTCCTGTGTCGTATTTGGTCCGGGCCATCTCTCCCCAGGCCTGGGGTGCTCTGCGTGCAGATTTTGTACAAAAAAGAGACACACACATACACAATAACGATTCTCAGCCCAGGGGCTGAGGGGCGAGGGCCGGGACAGTGTCGCAGGCTGGGTCCGGCGGCGCAGGCCGGCGCCTCAGGCGTGTACATAGCAGTGTTTTCTCTCATCCCCAGCGTCCGTCCTGTAACGTGCTTCTGTTTGTTATGGTAGAACAGCTCTGTGTTAATATATCGAAGTCACTTAAAATACCAGAAACCCAACTGCATCCAGTTCTCGTTATTTCTCCTCCCTGTGGCTCCCAGGCTGCTGTCGTGGAGGAGGCAAGTGCTCAGATCCTTTGGGGGAGGCTGGAGCCAGGAAGGGGCTCCCTCGACCTCAGAAGGGCAAGTGCCTGTGGCTTCTCTCCAGGCAGGGTGGGATGGGGGTGAGGGATCCAGGGGTGGGGTAGAGGCTGCAGTGGCCTGGGTATAGCTTGTGCCTGCTCCGCTGGCTGCCTGTGAGTTTCTTGGTAGCTTAATAGAGTGTGTGTGTGGGGGGGGGTGCACAGCATGAATGGTTTTCCCTGGCTGTAATTAATTGTAATAATTTATGAGTACATGAGATTGGAGGGAAGAGATAGGTGAAGATGAAAGTTGGGTGCTGGGTGAGGGCCCGAGCTGGATTCTTGCCTGGCTGCATCGGTGCTTCGAGGGATGGCTGAGTGGGGTAGGTAGGGTGGGTGTGCAGTGAGGAGGAGGAAGACTAGCAGGCCTCGGGGAGCAGAGCAGGCTCTGGGGACTGCGTTCAGAGTAAAAGGAGGAAGATGCATAGACAGAGACACCGAGGCAGAGAGAGAAAGTTGAAAAGGAAGAAAAGGAAAGAAGGAAGATGGCAAAGCCAATACAATCAGAATTAGATATAGTTTTTACTCCTCAACGCATTCGCAGCTTCTCTCTCTCTCCGTCCCCTAGTTCTCTCTTCTTCTCAATCTCTGTCTCTTTGATGTTTAGTTTGAATGTTGGTCTGGGGGTAATGGGGTTATGCTGTGCAGCTGCAGATTTCTGGGGGATGGTGTGGCCAGGGCCCAAGGAAGCTGGTCACAGATTAGCCAGAAGGGGGGCGTTCTCTGGTGGTTGTGGGACCCCAGGCACAAGGGTGTAGGGATGTGTGTGTAACAGCCTGATGGGGCTGATCAGCTGCACTGTACCCCAGAGCACCTTCCCCAGAACCAGCAGTTTTCATCTGCTAATCAGAAGCAGACACAAGCTGCTGGGTATGCCTCTGCCCGGGCGCCCCCTTTCTCGGAAATCCCCCAATCTGGAAACTATTAAACTCAAGACTGCCTGAAATATAGCCCTTTAATATCTCAGGCTGCCCATTCTGGAGAGGGTGCAGGGTGTTGCTCTGAATACTTGGGGAATACCACCATTAAAAAAAATAATTGGGGACCCCAGGCCATGTGCAACTCCCCCCCTCCATCGTATCACCTTAAAGGATTGGTGAGGCACTTGTAGGAACCAGCCCCTCCTATACCCTTCTTCCACTAAACACTCCAATTTGGGGGTTGTAGAAAGGTGGGAAGGGGTGAATATTTTGTTTCGATAATATTTTGAGAGGGGCAATCAAAAGTTACAAACAACAGTGCGGTTTTCCTAGTTGCTAAAGCACCCTCTCATCTTTTCAGCTTAAGAGACCTCCTCCCCAGTTCCAGAAGCCGTTGTTTTCTTGGTCCTTTTGAAAGGTGCTTTGCCTACATGTAGTTTCTCTCTTTTCTCGCTGCCTTACTCCTCCTCTTGGCCGTTTTGCTGTTCTGCGACCCTGGCCTCAGTTCCACACCGGGTGGAAGACAAGGCACCCATCTTCCTCTGTTCTGACCGAAGGGACTCAGGCTTCTCTCCAAGCCCAGCTCAGCGGCCTTTCCGGACTTTTCCATCCAGCCCCTGCTCCAAGGCCCTGTCGCCTCCCCTGGTCCGTCAGCGCGGCCTGCTTCCTGCAGCCCGCCAGACCCGGCCTAAATACGGGCGGGAAGGAGGGCCTCAGGGCTCAAGGGTCCTGAGAGAAGCGTGGGATCCAGAGCAGGCCCACCCCGCCGGCCCACTGTTCAGTACCAGCTCAGGCTCCAGCCTGCAGGTCAGGATTGGATTCTATTTTTATTTATTATAACTCGTGAATTAAAACCAGAACAACACAACACACATCTGGGGAAAGAAACGAAAGCTGAGGGGAAAGAGGAGCTAGCAAACGCCCTCCTGCCCTAATCTTCCTCCCACCTCTCCTCAGCTCCTTTGTCAGAATCACAAAACCCTAAAGGTTGCTCCACTTGGGAAGGCAGCGGATAGGTACATTTCCGCAGCCCCGAAATGCCACTTTTATGGCGCTGTTTGTCTCCCTGCTCTGGATTCTGAATGGGGCCGAACAAAACAGCAGCGCGGAGCTGGCTAGACGTCTGGGCTTAATTGTTTTATGGTTTAAATAGTGGACAATC